TAAAACACACAGAATGGCTTTATTGTTGGCTGTCACCACCAGCGTCAGGATACCCTTCTGCTTGCTCCTCCGAAGAGGCGACTAGACCCAATTTGTGCATGAGATTGAATGACTGTATTTTTCCTCCTTCGCCACCCAACCAATTCGACTAGTCGGCCCTCTTTGGTACCTGGCCTTGTCAACCCCAGTTGGTACCCCGTTCTGTCAACACCCTGTCTAGATTGAAACACAACTCGCGTGTACCTTCTTCGGCAGGTCTACCGGTCTGCCTCAGACAATTGAGTCCACTCGTCAAGCCTCGGTCCACCTCCTCATGTGGACGCTCGAAGTATGATTCTCGATGTATCCATCGGCCTCACTCGCAAAATTGACACTACCGGTGTGTATGCACTAACGCACACAAACACATGCATACATGCATAAATGCATTTGAAGAAAACGAGAGGCTATTTTGACCTTTCCTTATTAAAGAGGGGAGATGATGTGTTATTGTCAGTTTGACTTGTTGTCTACCGACTGCAAAAGTTGCCGACTTTTTAGTCGCTCTGTTGACCAACCATGAACCATTTCATTTGGTATGAAAGTGCCTTTTGAAGAGATTAGTGGGACGATGGGACCAGAATACGACGGCTGATTCCCGTTGTACTGCAGCCGTTTGGCTTTATTTCGACCTACAGGTTGACGTAGTTCACAAGACGTCTTCCCTCGTTTCGGTATGTATGTATATGTCTGCGTATATAAATTTTTGAGTGTTTGCATATATATATATATATTTATGTATGTTTGTATGCATATAAATATTTCTATGTACGTTTGTAGGCATGCATTTATTTATGTATGTTATTATGTATGTATATAGTTATGTAAATCTGTGTATGTATATATGTAGTTTGTAAGTGTGTGTGTAATTATGTATTACGAGTAAGTGGATTTTGATGGAGCTCTTGTGATGACATCGTATTAGATACGTTTCTTTCTTATGAGAGTGGATGATGAATAGGTTCGTCATTCGATCTCTCAGAGCAACAACGGCTGAATCCATTTGATCTGTAGCCATTTGGCTTTAATATTAAGTTCATGTTGATGCAGTCAACTGACCATCAGCAGCTTAGCCCGTTTTTACGCGAAACGAGAGAGGATGTCTCGTAGACTGCGTCAACCCGAATTTAGTGTTAAGGTTAATCGTCTGCAGAATAACGTTTACATTTTCTGACTCAATCACATTTTTGTTATGAGGTAATCAACAATTGCTCCTTTCTTTACCTACCATATGAAATTTGCATATCTACTAAGGGCTATATAATTCGTAACATACTTTAATGTAAATATAAGCTGAATGGCGTGACTATCCTAATATATGCATAAAGAAGAACAGTCTAATGATAACTGATGCGTCTGCTCCGCTGCCCTCTTAGCGTGAACACTACTGACTCAATTTTTGCTCATATTTCATGCGGTTTGGTGTCAATTTATAACTTCTACAACCAATTTCGCTCATTCGAATTCTAATTTATCGTGAATTGTCTGTATTTATACTTTTTTCTCAACTAACGCTTTCACGATTTGAAGATTTCTGTCGCAATACAAACGAAACCCCAGAGCAGATTTAGTGAACGGTAGGCAGAAACTCTAAGGTTTCCGGACGGCTAGTTTACGAGTCCCATTCAATATATTTTTTTATTTTAACATCCTAAGTTCCACCGAAAAAGTACAAGCATACCCCAAGTTGTGAACAGGCATAGCACACTTTGCGGTCTGTAATCTGTCAAAATTAAACTCTGTGATGGATGAAAAGAGTATTATCTGCATTGATACACTTTTTTATAAGCGTAAAGTGTTCGATTTTTACTTACATGCTGTCCTAATTTCCATTACTGGAAAAAAAGAAGGCCATAGCCAGCCAACTATCCCGAATGTCTGCCACATCTGAATTTGGTATGCTTTTAATGAGACATTTTTATCTATTTCCATTTATCCCCCTCTCCACTCCAGACTGCCTCTTGGGCACACGCAACAAGTTCTTTTTAATTGCGCCTGATTTGGCTGAAGTCATGGCTAGTGTTGCCATGACAAAGGGTATACATGGAGTGCATGGGCTCTTAGGCTAGCCGCACAGGTCATGTCAATGAGTACAACATGTTAGGCGGCCCTCCGGCTACCCGTGACCCGTTGCGTGTATTTGCCGTGATTTGGTAAAGTTTTCGTTTCTTCTTGCCCATTTCAGTCTTCCTGTGCCTGCAGTCGTTGTCTAGCCCCCCGCCATCCTCGAGTCTTCTGTGTCGTTGGGGCTGTTCGACGTCTGTTGCCAACTAGTGCCGCCTGTTGGGAAAGTGTACACTTCCGTTAAGTTAGTCTCAACTAAAAAAATGCCTCTTTATCACAAATTGAGCCGTATTTCTAATGAATCTACAGCGTCACAACGAACAAAACTTGCCGTCTTACACTCCCATCCCCCTCGTCAGTTTGTATTCTTGCGCTCCCCCTCTGTGAGGCCTCAGGGATCCGCTGGCATTAGCTCTTCTTCAGCAGGTATCCACAGACGTCAGGTGTTGCTTCGTGTAATACACTCCTTCTGTAGCCCCTCCTCTTTCCGTAAATCCCTCTTTATCACCATCATTTTGTCGGTTAGTCAGTTATTCAATCACCTATCTTTCCAGTCATTGGGTCAAACTAGCATTCAGTCTTCGGTCAGTCCAGCTAATTGGCCATACCGCTTTGTCTGTCGCTTGATGCCTGCACTTTTGTCTGCCTGTCCATCCATTTCATCCAGCGTTAGTCTAGCATCACTATCTTCTCTCCGTTCGTCTTGCTTTGCCCTCTGTGTTCTTGTGCTTTTCTCCTGCGGGACAACATGTTAATCAACCTGTAGACAATTTGGCAAATTGTAGCCTAACATCTGAAAGTAAGGCAACTTCTCGAAAGAGACGTAATTGTTTTCTTCTCCTACAGACACGCTTCGTCGTCTCGTCTCGTCTCGTCTCGTCCATTCTCGGCGTCAGCTGTTGCAGTATCGGTGAGCCGGAAATCAATCTCTACCCGGACATAGTTGAGTGGTAGCCATTGAGTCCGGCTTCACTGTTGGTCTGGGAGCCTTTATTCGGCATCCATTTCCAACCTTAACTGGGAATACTACTTAAGTGACTACTGAAAACAATGCACTCGGTATATCGAATAAGTTGATTAAAGCGAGCTGTGAAGAGTGGCTGAGTTTCGATGAGTCCCTTGGGATAGCATTGATGTTGAGATTTGCATTTCGTCTGAAAGTGCAAAATGAAGAGTTTCCTAGGTCGATTTCACCACATGACTACGGCTCATTCGCGTTGTTCTACAATCTATGACGTCAGGACTGATGCCATCCAAAACAGACGTACGAGATTACGCAATTCCAGTCAGGCTTTCTTGGGTCATCAAATCTTGATGACCTTGTCCTTATGGGCTCTGACTGGTAGTCTGGTAGCCTGACCTTCACGCGTACAGGCCTACATCTCATCAATTCAACCAGACTTACTTAAGGACTAACGCTATCTCGATCATGCCTCTCCTCGGGCCGATAGTGTCTACAGTCGTTGGCACACACACACACACACACACACACACACACACACACACATACATACACACAGTCGAATATATGACAACTAAACAAGCCATTCTACATCTATCTATATCTAAATATTTTTTCGTTATGAGTATATACACCATGTAAGACAGTGTTAAAGTTAGACTTTTGCAGGAATGAGTCGCAGTTCTGATGTATTCTGGTGAGATTGACCTACAAATATCTCCATTATGCAGTTTCAAACGAAATGAAAGTCTCCACAACAATGTTATTTAAGAAGATTCATCGAAACCTGCTTTTTCTTCGTATCTACAATCAGGCCTAATGTAACCTTGCAGATTTTGCAGGATAAATTCTACTTTTGATGATTTCCGCTCAGCCTATTTTTACCTGAAACGAGAGCAGATGTTCCATGGACTGTGTCAACGTTGAAGTAAGGTACAACGATCGCTTAACAACGGGTATCAGCTGTCGTCTTAATGTGAGATCGACCAATCAATCTCTTCATCATACGCTTTCATACAAACTGAATATCTATGCAATAACTAAAATTACAAGTAGACTTGAATAACCAAGATGGCGGGGCCTCTATTTGTGTTGCAGTCCCCTTTCGCTGCATAGAAATGCTTTGATCCTGTTTTCACAACTAGGCCATGTCGTCAAGTCGACCTCGAAGCACGCACCGTGTCCACATTCCTTTGCCATACTAGCCACTATAATTTTCTGCATCAGGCCGTGGACTTGGTAAAATCACAAATAATCACACTCATAGGAGGAGGAGAGAGGCTGACGGAGAGATGCTACAATTGCTGAGCTGTAAGACTTTAATAGGAAGCGTACTCCAGACTGAAAGGGACAGATTCGATCAATATATCTACCCCAATGAGGTGGAAGAAGGAGGCATCAGTGAGCGTCAAATTGTATGAAAAATGCACACATCTGGAGTAGGTGAAAATGTTCGAAAAAAGTTGCCTTTCAAGACATCTCTTGTATCATACTTGCTACGCTAACTTCCATTTCGAGTGAAAGTATTTGATGAAAAGATGCAAAGGTTGATCCCACCAGAAGATGACGGCGGATTCTGCTCAACCAGCCGTCAATTAGCTTTACTGGAACATACTTGTTGACGCTGTTTCAGAGGAAATCTCCTTCGATTCAGGTGAAAAAGTGCTAACGTCAAACGTCGGACGTTATCAAAGCAGTGCCAAAAGTTGTGATAGTGAAAAGAAAGAGATGGAGTATATGTGAAGGGTGAATATGCCAGGACAGAAGGAGAGATACCACAAATATTGAGCCGAAAATTTTACTCGTCACTTTGAGGATTTACAATTTTGGCTATGTGAAGATGCCGTCAAAGCGTCCGGAAATGTACCAAGTTAATGGTCCGACACTGAAAGTTACCATAATTATGGTAGCAGAGATCTTCGAACTAAGTTAGTTCATTAGGCTGCCCTGACAATAAGA